AGACCCGAGAAAACACCGATCGGGTCTGTGCTTGCGCATGGAGCATTCTGTGGCCTATTCGGCGGTCTTTCAACCAGCTCACGATGGACGCTTCCAGACTGATGTACGCTTCCCATGTCAGACCAAGACTTGAGTATGGTGGTGCGGCGATACACCCCTGCACGGCCGGTGAACTGGATAAGTTGGAGCGNTGCTACCACTGGACTCGTTGTTGGACTACGCGGGACCAGCTATGAAGGTCGTCTACAGGCTACTGGTTTGTTCCCAATTGCGTATCGACGCCTCAGGGGAGATCTCATCTGCCTGAGGAAGATCCTGAGAGGTGACATGGGTCCGGAGCTGCAACAGTACTTCCCTTTACGGACAGCGCACCGCAAGCAGGGGTACTTTCTCACGTTGCGGAAACTTCAGTCAGTTGATCTTCCGTTAGTCTACCGACTCTCGCGTAGGTCAACAACACTCTGGAATTCCCTTCCAGCGATTGCGGTGAAAGAGAAGACAGATGCTGCTTTCAAACGGCATCTGGATGAGCCCCTGAAGGGACTATAGAGGAACCAAAACTTGTGATCGAACCTTCGACCCAGGGGTGATGGGCTTACACGGGCACTCTGCCCTCAATCCTGAAGACTAATGACCAAGTTTCTCAGAAAGCCTCAGTCTGGTCGGGGGAAGGTGTCTGGGGTTGCGGCTGGTCACTCTTCCCTTGCACCTCACAAAATGCTCTCATACAACCAAGCACCTCAAACAGCCTCTGCTAAGGAAGCCCTACTCACTGCCTTCTCGTGACCGAGCTGTTTTCGCACCAAAGTTTCAGGACGAAAAGCCGACTTCCAGGGCTATAACCGGGTTGGTGGACCACTGGTAGTTCACCCAGGGGAGTTGGCCAAAAACACTGACTCCCAGCCAACCAAGAAGAGGCGTACGAACCACACGACTTCCTGGTTGTGTCAGTGGTCACCGGCTCGATTGGGGGTCGAGGTGTATTGCATATCTTGGACGTTTGACTGCGTTCGAAGAGCGTATGATCCTATGAGCTGGTCACCGACTCACCCTTGATTGCGGTTTTCGCACACCGCCCCGCTGCCTTGCGGGTCAGACTTTGGCTAACCAAAGGCTCCAGCTGTGAATTCTACTAGAAAAATCAGCTACGTTGGTCTGGGCAACCTGGCAGTATTCAGTTCACAAACCAATTAGGAAACGTTTTTCTTTTTATTATTAATATTATTGTACCATGATTATTTGGCACAGTGTCTGTCCTCAGCCAAAATATGACATATATATATATATATATATTTCTGCGCCGCATAGCAGAATTGGTCGAGCTGCCGCACATATACTCGATCCTTCACAGACATTCGGATGTCACGTCGGCGCCACATATGTCTTAAGTTGGCAAATGCCAATCGAGCCTTTTCTATGCACTTCGACACCTCATCCGTGATGCGTCCGCCAAGTGAGATTTACCTAAATGACAACTTGGAGGTGCAAAACGGATACCGAACATGGCTACACTAGCACTCAAACTATCCAGAAAAGCTTGCAACCCACCTGGATCGTCACTTAGCAGTACAATGTCGTCTGCAAACTCCATATTAGACATTCTGACACCTGGAAGTAAATTAATGCACGAGGATAAGGCTCTCTCCGTAATCAAATCGATAATAAAGTTTAATAGAAAAGGAGAGAGAGGGCGGCCTTTTCCGTTGTGAACTCGGGTGAAAAAGTGCCGTAAGCTCGAACTCGGCTGCGGCTATTATTGTAGAGGGATTGTAATATTGAAATAAACTTCTCGGGCATACCATTCAGGGAAAGTCAGTGTTAGAGTTTAGAGCGGTCGACTGAGTCGAAAGCCAATTTCAACTCGAGGGAGACAAAGATCGTGGGCCTACGAAAAGAATATCGATGCTTGAGCATTTGGCGAACAGTGAAAATGTAGTCGATAGAACGTCCACCAAATCTAAAAACAGTATGATTGTCACGCGTGCACCGTTCGCGTGCGGCAGACAATCGACGGAGTATGATGCCAGCAAGAAGTTTAGAAGCAACATTGATTAAACTAATTCCTCTGTGGTTTTCACAAGAGGAACTGTCACCTTTTTCGTGAATCGGTATGACGACCGATTCACACCATTCGAATGGAATCTATTCCGTTTCCCATAGTGAGCCCAGGAGTTTCATCAACTCCAAGCCTAACGCTGAGCCTCCATCCATAAACGCCAATGGGGACAGCCCATCTAGGCCGGAGGCTTTATGCCTTTTGAGATAACTTGTTTCCTAAAAACCCCCATTTCAGATGGAGGACTGGCATCAACTGGGAGTATTTGCCCAGTCAAGGTGGGAAGTGATGGGTCAGGTGTCGATGAGGGCCAGTTGAGTTAGGCCTCGAAATGTTCAGCCCATCGAACAAGATGGCGTTGCTGATGGTGAAGCAGTGTGCCATCGTATTCACTAATTCGGTGGTAGGCAGATCCGCTGTCGTCCGGTTCAATATCACGCCTAACCTATCGGGGCTCACCACTCCAAGTCCAGGGGCTAAGGTTGCCGGTTTCCACCACTGAACAGCAAGTCCTCGTCTGGTGTTCATCACACTTGGGTGTGTAATAAAAAAAATTACCTCACTTCCACCCATTTTCCTCGGGTCCGTATTCCTAATTAGACGGAAAAGATTGCGACCATTATCAACGGTCGCAGCTTTCTCTTCACACTTTCCTACCCACCAGTTCTCGCGGTTGTTCATCAGACTCTTGATGAGCTGGCGTTTGAGGGATTTTCGCGCTGTGCCATGTGTGTCATGAGGAGAAAGGGTTCTGCGGCGTCCAGCAGGGCAGTCAAGGTCGAAGAGATCCATCGTCTGGGTTTTGAGCCTGCGCCAGGGTCTGACGTTGTTCTTATCGATATCTTCATAGTTTCCTTGATTTGCTTCTACTGTTTATTGAGGACATTCTTCTTTCTGGTTACCATCTCAGAAATGGTTCCTGCAGAATCAGAGTCTTCCCTGATAG